CAGCTGCACAAGTCAGCGGTGGCCGGTAGGGGCAACCTCACCAGGGTAGCCGCAGCCCTATTGCTGCAGATAGGGGAAAGCGTGAGTGCTGCACGTGCAGGCGCGGTGCAAGTGTGGCTGCCCGCAGCCCTCCCTGGCCCCACACCCCATGCCTGCTGGTGGTGTGAATCAGCGGCCCGTGCTGACCACAGCCTGCCACTGAGGCCGGGCGCACAGGTGTGCACTTGTTAGCCATAGCCGTTACACTGCGCCCTTTACCGCTGGTGCCGCTGCTGCCGCGATGCTGGCTGCTGCTGCTGCTGCTGCCGCCGCCGCTGGGCTTCACTTCGTAAGTCTTGGTCAGCACCATGCTGATGCGACCACTGCGATGAAATGCAGCCATCTCTGGCGGGTAGGCATCCAGGAACTTCTGATGATCCAGGATGGGGGCGTGACACAGGATGTTGTGCAGCAACCGGTGGAACCAGCGAAGCCCAACCTTGATGTCAGTCTGAGCCCTGTTGTCCCGCTCAAATTTGGTCTTGCTGCCGAGGCTGTTGCAGTGGTCCTGGACCTGCAGGTAGATGGAGCACCGGGGCCGTGATCAATGCAGTTGCATGGGAAGCAGGGGTGTACATGCCAGCACCATTGCGGCCCGGCCCTGTTGGCTGGCTGCAGTCCACACAATGACTGCAGCTGTTTGGACAAGCGTCATGCCTGGAATTCGACAGGTGCTGCACTGCTGCCTCGCACTCTGACCCCTTGTTCCGTTTGCCTGCTCTCTTGGCGCCCGGCTGGGTTGTCTTGGTGGCCCCTCTAACGGTCCCCTCTACATGGGAAAAAGCTTGCAGCAGGTGCTCCTCTGCATCCCCACACCCACCCAGTTCGGTACGGCAAGGAACACTACTGTTGACCCGTGGGTGCTGCAGTAGTCCTGTGACCACTGCACGCGCCCTCCTAATACCTCACAAGCTTGGCTGCTCATTGTCTGATTGGCCACCCTGCTTGCAACCCCGCTTTTCCCCTAGCCAGCGGCATGCACTGCCAACGGTTTCCTGGCTGCCTTGTTACCGTTCCTCCTGTGTTTTGCAGGTGACCTTGACGCTGTCTGCAACTGTAGCTTCCTAACCTCCTCCTCCTTTTCCTTCTGCTGTTGGTCTCCTGGCCGGACTCGCCAATCTTGCAGTACAGCAACTCGCCCACCCCCCACACATGCCCCAACACCCTTCACTGGCATTCTTACCTGGATGAACCAGTCCGCCTTCAGCAGCCCGTCCGGTGTAAGCGCCAGCGCAGATGCCATGGCTTCCAGGAGGCTGTGCAGGTCCTCGTAGCTGTCGAAGTCCTTGTCCGTGCAGCGCTCGCCGAGCACAACCAGCTCCCTGAACATTGTGGAGCTGAGCGATGGGATGGAGGTGATTGAGTCCAACAACTCTCCAGATTCTGTGGTGGCCGCCTGAGCAGGGAAGAGCGGGCAATGACAGGTAGCGAGTATGTTTTGTGTAGGGCAGCAGTACAAGTTCGTCTCCTCTAGCCTCGCACAGTCCAGTCTCCTGTGTCCCAGAAACTGTTCCGATTCTGTGTCACCGCAGCACCCCGCATGCCTTGAAAACCGACATACACCCGGGTGAGCGCCTCAAACGCCCACTTCTCCAGGTGTGCACCTGAACACAACTTCTGCATGTATTGGCCCAAGCCTCTAGGGCCTCCTGGTTGGTAAACATGCGCTACTCAGAAGGTATTCCTGATGTACATGGGCATGTGTTGGCATTACACCCATACCTGCAGCACCTGAGCAAATAGCGGGTTATCCAGATACAGCCTGCCGTTTCGCTCGGTGGTGAAGTTGGCCAGCAGCGCCTCGAACGCCAGCGGGAGCTTGGCGCGCTCCACTCCAGCCATTGTGTCCACCAGCTCGCGCAGGAGCAGCACCTGTGAAGTAGGCTGGCCCAGCACTTGCAGTACCATGCGCATGTCCGCCAGCACCTGAATAGGGATCACATGCGGCAATCAGGGATTGCTAGTCGAAACCGTCTGGCTCCACCAGCTGCCGTTCAACATGCAAGCAGCACACTCTTTCACAGCCAGCGCCTGACCATGCTTTGTACCCGTTCCCATTTGCAGGATTGCATTATGCAGGCCCCACCTCGGGAATGAGCTTTCCTCTCAGGGTTTGCTCGACCAGCTCCGCAGCTGTGATAGCCGTCCCTAACCGCCCCCTCCACTCCTGGCACAAGTAGGCAAGCATGGCGATCTGCTGTGGTGACTGCCAGAGCAGGTCGCTTGGCAGTGGCGGATCCCAGCTCGCGGCCTGGGCCTTTAGCTGCTCCCAGGCGACTTGCAGCACGTCCTTGGACACCATGGGGCTCAGGTTGAGTTGGGAGTGGTACGTGATTAGGGCAACACCGTTGGTCTGCGGCCATGCACAGCAGAGAGGCGTTCGGCTCTACAGAAGCTACAGTCATGGGTAGGACAGGCTGGGGGGGAAAGACGAACGCCAGAATATGCGGCTATAAGCAGAGCTCCGCACTGAAAGCTGACATGCCCACAGCATTCACAAGCGTTGCAAGCAGGCATGCATGCACGCCGTAACCACAAGAGACAGGGATGCCAGTTTGTGTTCACACAATTGCTAGTAGATCAGCAACAAAATTGAGTTCACACCGACACACGGCTGCTGCGGTTCACAACACCACCGTGTCAGCTGTGCTGCCAGCAATGTTGGCCCAGAAGCACGACGCACCACTGCCGAGGGCCTGGATGCCTAGCTTCAGGTCTGCTATCCGCACATCCGTTTTCTTGCTCGCCTTCTCTAGCATGCACGTTACATAAACCCAATTGTTACAACTGCCTAGGAAGATATGTCGACGTGTTCACAGCAACAATGAAGGTCCGTGGCCCACCATGGCTCTTGCTATACACACAACGAGTGACCACTCAGTCCTTGCGCCCAATCGGTCTGGCGCGCCTATGACACACTGTCACGCCGCAAGAAGACGTGTAAACAACTCCGGGTCACACATGTTGCGTGGCGCCAAGGGGTGTTAAGAGGCAAGGCCCCAGTCCTGAAGGGCCCCCCATAATAACCTCCCTAGCATCACAGCAGACTAGTGCAACCAATAGATCTCGTCAAGGCGAAGCGATTGATGTCCATATTGGCACGTTTTAGCCACTGGTGAAATTGTATCGGGACCCCTTCGACATTGTTCCCGGAGCCCCGGACCCACCACCCCACATGCTGCCGTACAACCAACTTTGGAGACCAATAACTTATGTATTCCTGGGTCCATTTGCATTCTGAAAGCAGATATAGAACGCTCCCGTCTAGCTCTTTGAGAATGAAGCATATGCACCCCCCCAGAAGTGCCTAACCCCCCCTGCTGCAACACCAATTGCTCACCGGGGTGACTGCAACGTTGGCCCATAGCGTCGCCATGGAACTGCCCGTGACGGCCCAGGCGACCCAGTGGGGGCTGTCCAGCAGGAGTCCCTTGAAGATGCTGCAGTACACACGACAGTTGAGGGAAGGAAAATGGTCCATGTGTCAGCTCCTTTGTGTCGTACGCCTGCTGTAGGCATGAGTGCAGACCTCTGCCCCTTGTGCAATATGCTTATGTTGTACAATTGAATCTCGCAGTGATCTCCCCTTAGTGCCTTCTGCCCCTCGTGTGAAGCTCCACCTGGGCGCGTTTCACTGGCCATTGCCCCTCATCCTCGCCCATGTGATCACACGACACGGTTAGGGAAACCTTGTGCTGATTTACCGCCGCATGTGCCGCACTGCATCCTCGTCCAGTGTTGAGCCGCGTACAGTGACTTTTCGCCGCGGACTTTTGCCGGGCGACTTTTTGCCGGGCGACTTTTTGCCGGGCATGGCCCGTTCAAGCAGGTAAAAACTCTGCGCCTCGTCAACCAGCAGGAAGTTCAGGCGGTCCCGTGGCAGGCGCCGCATGAAGTTCCGAATGGCACCTGCTGCGGTGACAGCCGAGTTGCCGCTGGGTGCAGGCGTGCTGGCGGCAGCAGAGAGCCGCTGGTCGGCGGCACTCTCCTTGAGTACAGTGAGGAATTCCTTAAGGAAGCCACTGACACCTCTGCTGCGATCACAGCCCAAGCAGTTCACGCGCAGGAAGTTGGGCTCTGAAAGCACCGTGCCAGCGTGCTGCCGGCCACTGCCGCCGCTGCTGTAGTAGGTGTTGGCCACAGCAGGCAGAACCTCCTTGAGCATGTAGGACTTGCCAGTCTGCACAACGGGCACAAGATGGGCGCAAGATGGTAAGCGTGCATTCCCCTTGGTCGCTCAGCTGTGCATTACTCAATAGTGCACAAAGCTGCATGCATCACCCATCTACCACGCCTAATCTTCTCACTCCAAACCCTGTTCCATGTGGGTTGGACACAAGCTGCACAAGGAGCTCTCCGTCCTTGGTCAGGCCGTTATATCCCACCTTGACCAGACCGTTGATGAACAGCGGCCGGATGGGTCTCCCCATACAGTACTCATCCTCGGCAAGGTCCAGCCACTTCTTCAGCTCAGCTATCTGCCTGCCCTTGGGGTCCAGGAAGAACATGCTGTTCACGCCAGCACTTGTGGCAGCTGCAGCACTGACAGTGTCCATGGGCTCAAAGAAGAACAGGTCCTGGTTCTGCGAGTCTTGCCGGAGCTGCAGCTTGCAAGCTGGCAGGCCTGCAGAAGGATAGCCCATCATGCCCACAAGGCGCATACACATTAAACAACCAGCCGCTGTCACCCAGTTGCAATGCATGCAGGATCACAACGAAGGGGTGCAGAGCAGCAAAGTGACGAAGCAACTTCAAGCTGAATCAAGCCAGAAGTCACACCCCTCAGTAGCAAGAGGGTGTATGTCATGCAGAACACTGAACCGCCCCTTTATGGTAGAGAAAGAGTGTGCTGTCACACAGGGCTGCACAATCGCAGGCCCAACAGGCTGGAACGTGTAACTGCCGAGAGTGCTTCCAGGCGTGGGGGCACGTCCAAAATTGGTTGTAGCAGCTGTTGGAAATATGCCTCTGACATGTCCTCCCCTGCATGTATTTGAGATCAGAATTAGCTCGGCAAAATGCACACATAGATGGAATACAGAGGAAACATATGCTTCTTCACAACAGCACAGAGAGTGGACGGCCATGTCCGTGCCCCCCGTCCACACCCGCACCCGCACCCACACCTGCACCCACACCCGCACCCGCACCCACACCCGCACCCACACCCGC